CAATTTTTCTGTTTTTCAATCCTGAAACACCTGATTAGTTGGTAGAATCCTAGTCACATTGTTTGGCAGGCATGGCTGCAGATGACATTTACTTAAAACCGCTAACTGTGGTGTCCATCATCAGCACCAAGGAGCAGGCTTCGTCAAAAAAAATCCATCGTCTATTTCTGTCAAAACCAGCCCCTAAAGTGCTGAGGCTCTTGGTCCAGTGTGTCAGGGTCTGAGGTGATAAACTGGCCTGTTGTTGCATCTAAGAGCGAGGCATTGGTTCTGCACAGCCAATGGATTCACAGATTTTATTTTTTATAACTCCTGCAGCTTGCTCTGTGCATCAGATGTTTTGATGTCAAGGACAACTTAAAGAGATGCTGCTTTGCCCTCTGCTTCACTTTCACATCACAATGTGGAAAAGTTTTGTGGTTATAAAATAGATTGAGTGTGAAATGAAGGTTGAAGGCATAAAATCCAAGGCAGGGTTTTCTCCATTTCTCTTATTAAGCGTTTCTTAATGACATATTGTTACATAGAATGAATCTAAATAGAGTTTTACTAAAAATGACAGACCTTTCTGGTTTGGGATGAAATAACATTGACTGGTTGTGGCAAAAATCTCTTTGGTGTCGTAACATATTGGTGTTGGTTTAACTGTCCCAAAATGTTGTGAGTAAATGTCACACTACTGAGTTGCCATAGTGCAGCTCTTGCTCATTTTGCATGCGTGTTATAAAGCCCTCGAACATCTAACGGTTGTATATTTTGTAGGAGGTAGAATAGTTGCAGTTTAGCCTATTTCACAGGCACTTAAGTTGTAACCATTTCTAAAATAATAAAGGACAGAATGCCTGGCGCATATGGTCTGAGTGTTGTGGTATCCGTGTTATGTGCGATAATCTCACATTTTTTTTCCCCTATGTATGCACAATATTTTTGATACAGATTAATACCTGGAAGCTTCCATGTGAAGGCGTGCAGCAGGGAGAGAAAAAAGAGAGAGACAGAGACAGAGAGAAAAAGAAGGGTAGAAACAGAGGGGAGTTGAAGCATCATCTGTGACTGCCAGCCATAGCCTGAGGGGGAACACAGCCACTGATGTGTGTCCCCAATAACCCAGTAGTTGGTTAAACATGTATGAGAAAGGAAAAGGTGCAATTGATTATGGCAGGTGAGTGAAGACATGTGAGCAGTAATCCAGTTTGAAAAAACATTTTCATGTCAGTTGAAATTGATTAAAACTGTCTTGATGTAATTTTATGTTTTTATGTTGTTGGCGATAAAGAAAAGAGACCAAAGGGACTCTATAGAACTACCATCTGTAATGATGACACACTTACAGATAAACATATCGAAAATCAGACTGATTATATTTTTTGTGTCTAAACGAAGCCTCTTCCTGATATACGAGCATTATTCACGCTATTCCGTAGGTCTGATTTTCTTATCAGATCGCTGGCTGTGATTAAATGATGCAAATCCATTGTTATGCTGCTGATACAGGAAGCAATTTACAGACAGTTTATGACCTCATCTAGAGGCCTCAAAGTGACAGACAAAGTCAGGAATCCAGGTCAGACTTTTTCCCGGCATCAAGATGCTTCAGTGCAATTAAAACGCAACAATGTGGAAGCCCATCCTATGGGGCCTCCAGACCCCCTAAATGTTATCCTATCACAGCCTGTATTTGTTGTGGCACATAAAGAGTCCTAAGTCCCTTTGTTTCACTCTGGGTGCTTACACTGTCACAGATTGTTCCATTGTGTTTTCTGTTTTAATTGCTTTGTTCTTCCCTAAAATTGAAAGATTATCTTGGGCTTTTGTGTTCCTACAAATGTTATCCCCAATTGGAAAGGGGTCTATTTTTGGATCCCTCACTGTGAAAGTTGACACAATTTTTTCCTGCTGCGCGTGCACGTCGCCGGAGCATAAAAGATGCGTTTTTTCAATTTTTTTTATTTGCAGCTGAGCAGCCTGGCATTACAGTCTCTTTTACATCTGCATTATATTATGAACTTATAATAGATATGGTTTTAATGATGCTCTTTAAGCTCTATCCTTCCGTCACACTGACAGTTACGTTTTCTAATAATAGTCCATTGACGTCTTTGTCTTAAGGCACTGGAAGCCTGAGCTATAAGCACCTAATCAATGACGAAAGGAAACCCTTTGGCCCTGTCTTTCCTGCTTTGTGGGAAGCAGTGCCGGGCAACATTAAGTGGGTACTTCCACACAGGGGCCAACAGAGAAAGGTCTAATGTGCTTTCCTGTAAACTCTCGCTTCCTCACTTGGGAGTCGCTCATGAATCTCCCCTCTAATGGGTCAGTCCGGTGGCCAAGCCCTTGCAGGAAGGTCAGAGCTGTGTCTGTGCCATCCGTCCACATTTTTACAGAAGGTTTGTTTGCCAAGTGGAGCTTTGGTCATCTTTCAAACAGAATCTGGTGCCAGACCTCCATGTGTCACATGACTGAGCACCCTCCCCTCCCTTCCAACACCTGGCACTGCCTGGTCCACTCACCAAGCATAAAGAATATTTTTCCCCTGATGGCTTTTCCCACGGGGACTTCACAGGCCATTTACTGTAGGCAGGGTTCAGATTATAAAGCAATGCAGGTGTTGAGCACGAACATTTTTTTTCCACTCCACTTATACAAAAAGATATATGACTGAGAGATCATTTGCTCAATATTTTTGTTTGAGTTTTTACAGCTATTTTTTTATCAGCCCTGTGAGGCTCTATTGCAGTACAGTTCACAATATTTTGCCATAAATCACATTTTTGCAACAACTAAAAAAATGAGCAGAAGCAGTGTTACTTTTACAGTTGAATTTATGGAGACATGAATGTACGTATTTAATAGCAATCAAGCCAGTATTTTTTTTTTTTTTTAAGAGATATTTCTGATTAGTGGTGCTAGAGCAATAAGATCCTCAGAGTCAGAAGGGTTCAACCTTTAGAGACAATGAATGTCTGTAATGAATTTTTCAGTAATCCCTTCAGGAATTGTTGGGGATTTTTAGTCTACAACCAACCAACAGACTGTCAATGTCATTCCTAGAGCCTTGGCACTAGCTTGGTTAAAAAGTACTGCTCAAAGTGAATTAGGTGCTTATGATCGAATCATTTAAACCCTAACACTGCATCACCGCTGTCAAGTTTGATTGATTTATTGTACAGGAAGCAGAGCAAGGGACACACAGTCTGGCATCATCTGGTGTATCTAATCAGTGATGTGTGGTCAGCCTGTCATTCATTGTTCTCTCATAGAGAAAAAAAAGCCCCCAAAAAACAAGGACGGCAGAGTGACGGACTGCACGCTTTGTGTAATCCAAAGCCGTTTCCATCTGCATCTGAGCCGTGTCATCATCTGTGCATCGAAGAGAGATGTGAGGCTCACTGTGCTGCCATCATGACTTGCCTAGCAGGCGGCTAACGTACATCTGAAACATAAAAGAGCTCCCTGTTTGAGATACTGAATGCATAAACTGCAGGCTTTATTTAGAAAGAGAGAAATAAAGTCAAGGGAAACGCGTGAATCTGTGTGAAAGGGAGACAAAAATTAAACCCCAATGTGCTGGCAAAGCAATGAAGATAAAAGATAGATATTAAAGTAATTAATCCCAGTTTTAAATCATGTCATTCAGCACTTCTATTGTGAGCTGTTTGTCACGTAAATCCCAAGCTACCCCCAGTTAGCACTAAAAAAGGGGTGACACATTTTATCTAGTCGTCAGGGGTAGCAAAATGAGCTTGACGTTGCCTCTGATTAAAGCTTTGAAATCAGTGTACTGTATGTGCGTGTGCTGAGTACCTCCTGTTAGCTTTGCTAAATAGAGGATAAGTGGTTGCTGAGGTTTGTGTGTCTACTACACAGGAATCCCTCCTCCCCAATCTCTCACTCCAGCTACCCAGGGGAGTGGTAGACTGCAGGGCTAGTGTTGGCAGATTGACTCTGATACATGTGCTGCATATTTCATGCCCTCTAGTCTGTCTGTGAGACGCAGAGAGAAGGGAGACATGCAGATAGATAGACTGGAAGAGACAGAAAGACAGTCGCAGACAGAGTGAGAATGAGATCAGATCGACCTTTACAGGGCGGTTGCATCCTGTGTGTGTTTCTCTGCGTGTCTCTTTATAGTGATGCATTGTTTGGGACTGCCTCTCTCCCTTACTTACTCCTCTGTGACCCACTGTGGCATCAGTGAAGTCTGCTGCGCTCAGCAGTCAGCACGTTTGTACACAGCAGCTTTGAGACAGTACAGCTGACAACCCGCAGCAGGTCGCTTTAGTCCCAGCAAGCATTAAAGGCAGAAGATATGCTCAGTATACCTCAGTGGTCCTCCAGGGAGTTCCCATTTAGCGGCAGGGCAGGCACTCCATTTATTTGTGTTTTGATGGGTAAAGTTGATCCACACTCAATGATGTGTGATTATGAGGTTTGTTTTGCCAAGTGCTCCTGTTGGTCTGACGTTGATTCATCGGTTTTATTTTTATACAGGCTAACTGACTTTTTCACTGCGCTGTGCTTTGACTATACACTAGGCCCGTAACTAACGATTATTTTCATCATTGATTATTATTTGTCATTGATAGGTTTTACAGTGAAATTTGACAAAAATTCTATTCCTGCAGAGATCTAGGTCTTGTCTTCATCACTTGCTATATCTACGTTAAAATCCAAAGATGCTTAATTTTATTGACGCAAAATCAGAGAAAAAATGCAAATCATCATTTTTTAAATGCTGTAAGTGTTGGTAATTTTTTAAATGAACAAAATCCACAAATAAATTCTGCAGTACAGTGTACAAGCCAAAGGGCATTCATCAATATAAGTTTATTGCAAGCTGAATTATCTGTAAAATCACCAACTCAACAGTATCAGCCAAAATTTCTAATGTTTTACTCTAAGTACTCTGTGTGCAGTGTATTTCATCATATTTCCAAACGGGTAATGTGTTTATTTCTGTGTCCAGATGAGGATGATGAAGGTGAGCGCAACACCGTTCCCCTCACGCCCCTCGACAGCTTCTTCTCTGATGATGACTCCCTCAAACAACAAAAGAAGAAGAAGCCCAAAAAGATGAAAGAGGGGAAAATGCCCAAAGTTAAGAGGAGGAAAAAAGAGGTAAGGTGTAAATTCACGCTCAGCACCGTCTGTCATGACCTCGGACACAACAGCTTGGCAGGCATTTTGGCCCAAGCTGTACTCGGCGTTCGCTGTTTCTCAAACCGTCGCTCTTTTGATGTCTCTGCAATTGGATCAAAGGTGTGCTTTGGCTGCTGGACTGCCTCTGTAATCTAAATGAGAAGCAGTGGACTGTCTCAGGCTTAGGGGAGATTGGCAGCGGTGTCACCGTTGATGCCAGTGTAAGCTGTGGGCACCAAGTGCCAGTTTAGAGTGTAGATTTGTGCCTGTGGTGCTGGTGCTGATGGCAGGGACTGTAGGTCAGAAGCACAGCATTTGTGCCAAGCTAGCAGTGGGAGTCGGAGCTATGACAGAGTGGTTTTGACAGCTAAGCTTCTCTAGCCTTTAGTCTCCAACATTTAGACAACAGGTCTGAGGTGCGATTTGTTCTCAACATTAATGTGTTATGGTGATTTTAATCCAGCTTTTAAAGTGAACCTACACTGGTTTTGCTAAACAGTTCAGCTTTGGCCACAAGTTACAAAAGTGGAACAGAAATGTCATAAAGTTGATTCTGAACTGAAGATTTAATTCTTATTAAATCATATATGAAGCATCAGTAAACTATTTATGATCCAGTAATTAAGTCATTAATTCCTGCTTTTAAGCCGTTAATAAATAGTGACTTACTGAGTCTTCTCTATTAATACTTTCCATTTAGCATGATAATTACAATGATAACTACAGACTATTATAAAGCAGCTGTAAATGTTTATGAATGAGTTTTGAACTGGTCTTCCTGCTGATTTGAAAAGCTAAAAAGATGAAGTAACCATGTGGCTGGAACAGGACTTTCCATAAACTAGCACCACAAAACATCTTCTCATTATTGGCTTAACAATGGTCTATAACACATAAATAAGTGACTGATGACTTGTAATTGTCCATTTATAAAGAGTGAGTTATCAGAACGTTTTGATTCAACTTTACTGTCATGCACAAGTACCAAGACAATGAAATGCAGTTGAGCATCTAACCAGAAGTGCAAACGTAGCAGTAAAGTGCATTATATGCAGTATGTTACAGTAGGGACAGAATGAACACAGCTGGTGCAGAGCTCAGTCAGGTGACAGCTGAAGGGAAGAAGCTGTTCTTGAGCCTGCTGGAACGGAGACTTCTGGCAACCCTAAAGTTGTTCTTATTAATTTCTTTAAAATGGTCTATGACACATTGATAAATAACTACAATTTTAATTACCCTTAATAAAGAGTGACTTATCAGAAGGTGGTACCATTGTTTGCTGCCGTAAGGTAAAGTGACTAGTCTTTCCACACAAAACAAGGATGTGGCAGCAAAAAATAAATTATTACTTTCAGAATCTGTTTCAACACTGGAAAAACAAAACACTAGCAAGAGTTAAATCTTTATACAGCTACACAGGATGTTTGGATGATAATTCATTTGACAGTTTAGAACCTTTTATATTACAGTGCTCATGCATTCGATCCACCATTACTACATGATATTGATTAGTGCAGCGTTAATGGGTCAGCATCTCATGAGGTCATCTCTTACGCTGCAGCAAAAGCTTCATCTACCTTCACTGTTCTTAAAAAATTGCCAAACCTCGAAGCTATGAGCAATATTTTTTTTTATTCTGTAATTACAGGAATTCACTGTATTCCCAGTGCTTTCTGTGCCTGTGTTGGCCATGGCTTTAGCAGTGTCAGTGGCACAGCCAGGATGTTCCCCTCTGCTGGCTGGAGATGCCAGCAGTGCTGTGAGGAGCTTGGCTGGCCAGACTGCCACCCGGCCCTTTGGCTGCTTGTGGTAAACACTGAGCTCAGGGTCTCAGTGAGCTAATGAGGAGGAGGGGGGGACTCCCTCTGACACTCTCCCTCACACACTGACTCTGTGTTCTCCTTTTTCCTCCATCTCCTCTTGTCTCTCACATGCATCACCTCGCTTTGCCTTGATCGTGATACTGCTGCATTTTCCTTCTTTCTTTCTTTCTTTCTTTCTTTCTTTCTTTCTTTCTTTCTTTCTTTCTTTCTTTCTTTCTTTCTTTCTTTCCTATTCTTTCCTCCCTATTTTTTCCTTCTCCCTTGCTCTCCCACTGAGGAACCGCTGGTGCTGTAATTCACTTCCAATCACTCCCCAAAGGTTGGTGTCAGACAGGGGCCAGAAGTCAATTGGGGTCAGACACTGTCAGCGGCACATCCCAGTCTGAGGTCGCAGCGACCGGCGGGAGGAACGGTAGCCAGGGAGGGATGTATTGTATTTCCTTCTCTTAATTTCCAGTTAAAGAAAGAAAGAATGTTGATCCTGTGTCCTTTTTAACAAAATATCTGTTAAATCAAGGAAATCTGAAAATAATAGAAAGCAGTCAATTTTATTGGGAAACTAAAAGGTTGCAGTTTGACCACAATTAAACCTCCGCGAAGCTGCGAGACAGATGCTTGTCGCTTTAACATTTTGCTGAAATATCGTTGGTGTGAGATGAGCCTCTGTCTTGTTTTTATAACTTCAATATCCTCTCTGGGATTGTGAGTCAACAAAGAGGTGTTGCTGATTTTTGTAGAAAAAAGGAAAAGAAGAGGCCATGTTTTGGAACCATAAAGAGGTTTTTTTTTTTTTTCTACAGCAGTATTCTTGTTGAACTAGATTTTATTGAATATCCACTTCTTTGCTCATTTGATATTTTCTGTGGCGTCCACTGCAATCTCCCTAAGGCAGAACCATTATGAGGAAGCATCTAATTTGATTACGTTATCAGCGATTATCTGATTTTCTTCCCTCTCAAAGTAGAGACACCCTCTTTGTTAGTGTGCTGTTTTGTCCTCTTTGCTTCTGATGATGTGTGTTTAACATTGAACTCTGGGCTGCCACGAGGTTGTTGCACAGCTCCACCTCATCTTTGCAGTTGCTGTCAATAGTGGTTCTGCTTCTTTGCTTTTTTTTTTTTCCCTTCTCCATCTCCATCTCCAACCCCATCCCCCATCCACAATCTTCAATTTACTCTCTCTTTTTCTCTCTCTCTCTCCTTCTTCTTATGCATAAATGAGATTTGTCTAGACGGGTGCTGGAGCACCGGCTCTGCAACCACAGGCCTCTGCATAACAAGCTCGTTATGCAAACGTGTCTGATTGGATGGCGCCGTTCCATTGGCTGCCACTGAGATGTAGCGCGTGTGTGTGTTGTGAGGTGAGGTGGGGGGGGGGGAGAGAGTGAGTAGCAGGATAGAAAGAAAGAGTGAGAGAGGAAAGAAAAGAAAGGGGGAGAAGTTAAGAGATAGAGTGAGAGAGAGAAAATAATGGGGTGGAGGGGTGAGGGAGGGGAGCTCTGAGATGTGAAGGAGAGAAAGTGAGAGGAGGAGGAAAGGAAGAGGAAGGGTGTAGGAGGAGGAGGAGGAGGAGGGGGGGAGGACTGTGAGAAAGAGACAGAAAACTCGGAGGAGAGAGAGAGAGAGAGAGCTAGAGCCAGACACTGCTCAAATTTGGTCGCCATGGCAACACAGCCAGGCTGCTGGTAGGGTTGGCGGGCGCTGCGGCAACGTGAGCCTTTCCACTGCGCTACAGAGCAAAACGCCTGCAAGTCTCTCTATGGAGCCACGCAGGCCTGCTGAGCAACAGGCAGCGAGCAGAGCACAAAGCTGCTGTGCACTAATTTTACTCCACTGCATGTGCACACACATGTTCACTCGCCGAAAGACATATGTCGTACGTCTTTTCGCGAAAAGAAACCCTAACAAAAGAGAGGTTTTAGAGAATCGTGCACACGCTCAGACACGCATTTAAACACACGGAATGCCACCAAATATGCATGTTTACATCAGAGGAGAGGAACACACCCGTTCGGAAACACATGCACAAATAATAATTTATATGCACACTTGCACACACCTGCTGCACACAAAAGCACAAGTAATTAGGTGAGAGGTGCATAACGAGAGAAACAGCAGACACGCTTCCCTCTCCCTCTCTCTTACACACACACACACACACACACACACACACACACACACACACACACACACACAAGCATGAACCACCACTGAATTTGTTCATATGCAACACTCCTGATCACACAAACAACACCTGTTAACTGTTAAATCCATATAGCCTTCCAGATGTCTCGTATTAAACAGGCAGGATGCAGCTCAGTCTACAGATCGGCTCTGAGCTGTGATTGGCTGCGCTGTCTGTTTCTTGGTTTTTAGTTTATTGTCAAAAGGTGAACGTGAATTTGACTTGACTCCTCATCCGCTCACTCCTAACCGGCTCGTAGTAACTTATATATTTCGTCGCAGGCAGACGAATTATCATTTTAGCAAAGCAGTGACACTTTGAAATGATGTAATTTAATTTATGCAAATGCCATCAAGTAGAAGCTTTTATCCGGAGTACTTTATAGTACACTGACAGCATATGTTTTTAGTGTGGGTGGCCTCTGTGGGAGCTCTAATCCTGAACCTTGGCAAAATTAATGCCATGCTTATTTGCCCTATCAAGTTTCATATTTTAATTATTCCCCCCCCCACCCCTTTTTATCACTAGATGTGAAATTGGGTCTCAGAAGATAGTTCTTAACTGGAGATAGATTTCCTTTGTCATGCTATTAGTGAAATTCAGACGTGGGATCTAGTTGTGACCCGGGAATCTGGCTTTGATGCTAGCTTTAGTCAGTCACAGTCGCGCCCTGAGGTAGAAAGCTGAAGCAAGATCCAAAGCCAGATTCTACTTGTTTACATTTTTAAAAATAGCTGTTTGGCAGCAGCTCTGTACTACAAAAAGGAATAAGGAATGCTATGTTAAAAAAAAAGTGGCTTGAGTGAAGTTTTCATTCAGTAAAGACATAGATGCCTTTGAAGTCACACATTTTTATCTGCTGTAGAATGAGAGAGGTTGGTTAACACCATGTTAACCTCCGCCCTGTTAACAAATAGAGGGTCTTGTTTTGTGCAGGGAGGGATCCAGGCAAGAGTCGACAGCGACCTGGAGGAGACCTCGGAGGTGGAGGAGGAACGGGAACGTCCAGAAATCGGCTCTGAGAGCGAGAGCAGCACCTACGGGCCCACCAAAAAGAAGAAGAAGAAACCCAAGGAGAAGAAAGAGAAAAAGCCCAGGAAGAAGAAGAGAGATGAGGATGATGATGAGGATGATGATGATGATGGTAACATGAAGGTAAGTCAGGGGTTTGCAACGCTGACACAGACTATATCTTGTTGTCTACTGGGTTGAATGAAAGGCTTACATGTGGGTACAATTCTCAGATTTTTTCTTAGTTTTAGTTCAGTTTACATTTATGATAAATAATCATCTATTTATTGATTGCCTATCAATAATTCAATTTTAAGATTATTTTTCATGAACCATAAGGACATTTTACAGAAAGGCAGCCAGCAAAACAGAAACACAATGATCACAAAGCTTAGGACAAGTTTAATCTTCAAGGTAGAGTAAACCATTCCTGACAAAGTTTGCACCCCATCCTTTAATGTTCCTTAACAAGCTTTGCTCCCTAAAATCATAGATGCACATTGCCATGGCAACAACACTACCAACTTGGCTAGCTAGTTGAAATAAAAACGTTCATTCCTTATACAGGCTCTTTCCCATTGCTGAAGCAAAAAAGCAAACAAACAAAAAAACATTATATTATGGTATAAAATACAATCAAGTGATCAAAATCTAAGAACAGAAAACAGCATCCAAAACAAAATGGAGTAAAAACTAGCCATAGTTTGTTGTTTAGAATGTTTTTTACTGGTTGGGCGCATGTTAGCCAGCATCACACACCATCCTGATCACGGCTGAGGAAGAGGTAGCACCCATGCAGTCATGCTACTGAGATTGATGTGCAAGTTTTGAGGTCCCAATCCAGTCAACGTGCCAGCAAAGGATGACATTCTTGGTGGTCCTGGTGGTCTGTCTATCCTTTACTAATGAAATGTGTAGGGATTCACAGGGCTGTCCTGTGCACAAGCAAGAAAGACGCCTTTTATTGGTTGGCTAGAATGGCTTTGTATGAAGTGAGCCACTTTGTTTGCTGGCAGATGATGAGGAGACACTCAGTGCATCTGACATAAAGTATTGGAGTGGAATGGCGTACTCCACCTTTAAGATTTGAACTCATTAGACTGCATGGTAGAATTAGTCAGTGAGAATGTTCCAGGTTAACTTTCTCAAATAGGACTTTCCCAAATTCTTATGAAAGTTTCACAATATGAATTCTAGGTTTTTGGTTTTTCAAAATAAATCAGGGACAGTTCGTAGCAAAGTAGACTTAAACCATGATGTCTCCCTACCTGGATTATCTCCCTAATTAGCTGAACAATCTCACAGTTCAACAGCGCGATAAACCTTTGCAAAGTCCCTAAGAATAAAGAGGTTGGGTAGGTGATAAAGGGCTTTATGTGAAATAATTTATTCATTAAACACCATTTATTATATGTGTCTTGATCTTTCTCATCTATTTGCCTCCAGGAGCCCAAATCATCCGGTCAGTTGATGCATGAATGGGGTCTTGAAGACGTTCAGTATGGCTTCACCGAAGACGACTATAAAACCATCACTAACTACAAGGCTTTCAGCCAGTTCCTCAGGCAAGCATCTAATTTTGTGTCTGGATTATCTTCCTATGTTCAAGTGCTTTGTTCTGTTTCAGTTTTTCTGGATTGTCGGAGTCCCTCGCCGAGAGTCTTCCAGCAAAACTCCACAGCGAGACAAGAGTGTGGTGTGACGAGCAAACACTGCTCTTTTTGTTTGAGCTAGAAAGCTCGGCTGTTGGTATAAAGAGTCTGTCTCACCTGGGGCTGTCTGGCTCGGCTAAGCCTCTGCTCTGACAAAGTGGAGCATGAGCTCCTGCAGTGCCCCCTGTGTGTAGTCAGCTGCTTACTGGATGCTTGTGACAGCCGGGAGGCTCTGGGACTCAGTGCTCTGACCCACTATCTTTCACAGGCCAGCATGCCAAACCTCAAGCTGTTGCCTGACAAATCACAAACATGACATACACACAGCAAAGCAGGGAGAACAAAACTTAAGGGGCAGTGGAGTGTCAGCAAATCAAGACCCAGTTCCCTCCAGTGCAGAAGGAAGTAGAAATTATATCAGCAAGAATGAAGTGTGACATAATAAAGCTGCCGTTGTTTCTGCTCTCCCCCCTGGTTTTTCTCAGGCCTCTCATTGCCAAGAAGAACCCGAAGATTCCCATGTCTAAGATGATGACAGTGTTGGGGGCCAAGTGGCGAGAGTTCAGTGCCAATAACCCGTTCAAAGGCGCATCTGCCACCGCTGTGGCCGCCGCTGTGGCTGCTGCCGTGGAAACGGTTACCGTGGCACAGCCAACGTCTGTCAGCAGCAGCCAGCTGAGCTCTCCGCTAGGGCCAATCAAAAAAGCCAAAACCAAAGAGGGAAAGGGTAAGGCCTGGTGAACTGTGGCAAAACACATATTTTTAGGAAATAATAGAAAGAATGCTGCTCGGTTAACACATCTGATGTGTGGATCTGTATGTCGCAGGACCAGGAGTTAGAAAGAAAAGCAAGACTGTGAAAGAAGTGAAAAAGAAACCCAAGCCGAAAAAGACCAAATCAAAGTCGGGCCAAAGTGGGAAGAAGAAGAAAGCATCCTCAGTATGTCTTCTTATTTTCCAGAACTGTTTTCCTTCAGCTCATTCACCCTTTCAGCTTCTCCACTGTGTATTTTCAATGACATCAAAGTGACCAGGCTGTTTGCTGTGCTTTCTGTGAAAGTTGGTTTATTTTAATTCTTTGTGTAGCTCTGTGCTCTTTAGTTTGTGTGTTTGCTTTTCCAGAGTGAGGAGGACTTCCTGGAGGAGTCAGACTTTGATGACATCAGCATCCACAGTGCCTCTGTGCTTTCTGATACCTCGGGGGCCGCCACCAAGAAAAAGGCCCGACGTGGGCGGAAAAAAAGGAAAAGTATGTTTACTGTCTTCTCTTGCCATACTCTGTGGTGTGGTTTTCCCTCCAAAATCCCATTGAAATCCCCCAGAACCCAACTGTTTGATTATGGGTAACGAGGAAATTAAAATTTATTTCTTTAAGCTTTATTTATTTTGGGAAAGCTTTCTGAAGACAGATGGTGTTTCGCAGCAGCTATTGCCCTCACAACCACGGATTCTTATTCACATTTAGAGGCCACTCGTGATAATGTGTAAATACTGCAAATCTTATACTGTTGGTAGCTGCATTAAAGTGACTCTCCGGATGTGTGGACTGCACATGTTTAATTATTCCTTCATCTTCTCCAGAGGAGGACGGCGATGGCTACGAGACAGACCACCAGGACTACTGCGAGGTTTGCCAGCAGGGTGGAGAGATCATCCTGTGTGACACCTGTCCCAGAGCCTACCACCTGGTCTGTCTGGACCCCGAGCTGGAGAAGGCCCCTGAGGGAAAATGGAGCTGTCCACACTGTGTGAGTAGATGTGTTTCAGTGTGTGGTGTGTTTATGGAGTTTTATGCACATTTTAGCCATATTTTGACTGCTTAAGGGCCAATTCATGAGGCTTTTTTGGTGATACCTTGGTTGTCTTGGAGTCTGATGCTATGGTCATTAAGTAGGCAGAACTTGCGACAGTTACCAGTTACTGCTGTTTGTCTGTTTGGAGATTAGGAGCAGGGGCAAAGGAAGAACAGGTTAACTTATGGTGTGGTCCACTTTTGTTAAAATTGCAAGCCAGCCTTGGTGGAAGATTTGGGATTGCGTGAAAATATGCCAGTTTTATTATTTAAACATTTGAGAAAGTTGCTGAGTCCCAATCTGATACTATTTTACAAGATAATACACACTTGAAGTACATTAGACTTCTTAAAATGAATCCAGTACATCCATTTTCTATACACCGCTTAATCCTCATTAGGGTCGCGGGGGGGCTGGAGTGTTTTTCCTGTGCGTTCGTGTGAAGGCAGGGGACACCCTGGACAGGTCACCAGTCTATCACAGGGCTACACTTAGAGACAGACAACCAAGCACACTCACATTCACACCTACGGACAATTTAGAATCACCAATTAACCTCAACATGTTTTTGGACTGTGGGAGGAAGCCGGAGAACCCGGAGAGAACCCACGCTGCACGGGGAGAACATGCAAACTCCATGTAGAAAGATCCTCACCGGGTGGCGACCTTCTTGCTGCGAGGCAACAGTGCTACCAACTGCGCCACTTTGCAGCCCTCCAATACATATGCTTGACAACTTAATAGACCTGCAATGCATCAAGAAGTGTGATTCTCCAATCCATCTGTTTCTTAATGTTACATAGATGATCACATAGATTGCAGGTATTACAAGGAACTGTTTACAGTTTAAAATATGTCAAAACTGCAGACATTTTACCTGTGTCCCACCACTAATTCCACTCTTCTTCCACACTCTACTCTGGTAGGTCACGTTAACGCACCTTGAAGATGGTTTGCCAACTGCAAATCACATCAAAAGAAGTTGTGCTCTCTCTTGATGTCAATGTGTGACAGCGGACATAGAAAAAGGATCGAGCTGAGATTCGTGCTCAATAAAGCTGATACCTAGTAGTTAAAATTCATTCTAGTCATTTTAAAGCCAAGAACAGGCAAAGCTATATAAGAATAAAAACAAAGAACAAAGGTTAAAGACGCTGTGGCCCTTTGGGAGGTTCTTCTCCCCACCCTGGGAATCACTGATCTAGTACCTGCTGACAGTTCTTGACTAAAATGGCTTTTGTGCTGTAGTGTGTGTCTCTTTATCAGTTTAGTACTTGTGCGTAGTGTGCATAAAATCAGTCAAGTTGCTGCATCAGAATGTGCCTTTTATGATTTTCTCTATAGTGCATGATTGCTAAATCAGTCAAGACAACAAAGCTCTGCTCATGCAGCCGTTTTAGTGTCAGTAACCCCTTATGTTACATGACTGTGTTTATAGAAAGACAACACTTTTAAAATAATCAGTATATATAATACAGTGTATCTTATGAAGCAACAAGGCTCAGCTTTACATGCTCATGCCAACAGGAGAAGGAAGGGATCCAGTGGGAGGCCAAAGACGAGGAGGAGGATGAGGAGGAGGCTGCAGGCGAGGAGGAGGATGACCACATGGAGTTTTGCAGAGTGTGTAAAGACGGAGGAGAGCTTCTGTGCTGTGACACCTGCCCATCATCCTACCACATCCACTGCCTCAACCCGCCACTTCCCGAGATACCGAACGGGGAGTGGTTGTGTCCTCGCTGCATGGTGAGCTGATCTCAGAAAACTAGTTCAATTGTATATGTGTGCATTAGTAAACTATATGTAGTTTAACTCACTCATCTTTACATTTTCCCTTGTAGTAGTTTATAACATTGAATTTAGTCTTTTGTTGCTGGGATTAAGAAAAACTAAATCCTGCTACTATACTGTATAGTGCTTTTACTTTTCACTAAATGCTCTCTGCCCAATATTTGAATTATTCCTGACACATCAACTCCTCTATTGTTGCTTTGCAAGTGTTCATTTTCCTTCTCTTTTTTATAATCAACACATTCAAAATTAGTTAAACACTTTGAGTGTCACCTTGAAAAAGAGTACCTTATTTTTTGTATCAAAATTCAGGCTAAGGATTAAATTGTGAAAAGAGAGATAATAGCTAGTGAGCAGTTTATTTCATAATACCAAGTATGTTTTCATGTTCTTTTGTGTTTCCCTTTTTATTTTGATGTGTAACATCAAGCTGCAGAGCGACTGCAAATTAAAATCTGACACATTTGCATCATTTGTAGTGTCTCTAATAAATCAATGAATCTAATTAAGTATTAGGAGGAGCGAAGTTACGAGGTGGTGAGAAGGCCTATTTAACCAGAGGATTAAAGCTGGGGTATGCAGAAATATGGAAAACACAAGAAGAGCACCAGAAGCTCTCCTTGCAGCAGCTCTTCCCTTTCTGTCCTGAGAACAGACAAACATAGTCATGTCCTTCATATACACAAACAAAACAAGTTTGATCGTAAGGCTTTTGTCTAAACTGTTCGCTAAAATAATGACTTTTCTTACATGAATCAGATTTTGCACCATCTGAAGGGATGTGCACATGCATTTGCATATGTAGAACTACCAATAGGAATAATGTTTGAAAAGACCTGTAAAGTCTGCCCTCACAGGCTAGATTTTCTAAACCCTGAAAACAGAACAAAGAGAAAGTAGTCTAATAGTACCTTATTCTGACATGTAATTATGGAATTTTTGACCATTGATGCAAAAAAAAAAAATTACTGCCTACCTCAGCTTTAGTCTTTTGACCTGGTGAAGTTTGTTCAGTTTTGGCTGTCCTATTTAACTGTTTAAGTTATAGATACTCTCCCTAATAATGTATTAATATTTCTACAAAGATACTGTTGCTTCGTCACCAGCCCAGAATAACTTTATGTATGACAGCACCCTCCTCTTTTATCAGTGCCCTCCCCTCAAAGGTAAAGTACAAAAGATTCTGCACTGGACGTGGGGAGAACCCCCGCTGCCGGCTGAACTGCCTGCAGGCCCCGACGGCAAGCCAAGCGATCCGCTGACCAAGCCCCCGCTGAAGGGCCACCCAGAGAGGGAGTTCTTTGTAAAGTGGGCTGGCCTTTCATACTGGCACTGCTCCTGGGTCAGCGAACTGCAGGTGAGACACTAGAAGTAGGTCCAATCTCAAATTAACATTTCTGCTCTCTTTGGCCACAGCAAGTATGCTTCCTCTTCATTAAAAGAGACTATTTTACTGGACCATCTTTTACGGTTTAATATAGAACGAGAATGTGTGCTCCTTTAGCCATTTTTGTTTTCAGTCTTCACAGGTATGTGCACATTTTCTCACCTGTCAAACCATCCAAATTGCAATCACAATTAGGAAGCAATTCAGGGCACTCCAACCTAACTGATATCTAATTTGGTGAGGAAAGAACAATTAGCTTTTTTTCAGTTTTGACCATGGAGGAGTCTTGTTTCTTAACAGACACGACAGCTTTCTTAATTTATTTTGTAGCCACCTTCGCTTCATTAAATCAATTCTGGAACTTTGTGTGCTTAATTAAATTAGTCTCAAAGGCGTAGATTGATAATGCATTGCATTTTTTTTTTCCTTTTTACAAGAAAAAAAAGACCCTTCACCCAAGGTGGCACTTGATTGAAACTAACCAGAAAGTGTTGCTGTGCTTCCTTGTGCAGCTGGAGCTATACCACACGGTCATGTATCGGAACTACCAGCGGAAGAATGACATGGACGAACCTCCGCCGTACGACTACGGCTCCGGAGAGGAAGAGCTCAACAGCGAGAAGAGGAAGAGCAAAGACCCCCAGTATGCCGTGATGGAGGAGCGCTTCTACCGCTACGGCATTAAACCAGAGTGGATGGTTATCCACCGGATACTCAACCACAGGTGGCCGCTCACAGTTACACAAACTCTCACACTGACATCTTTAAAATAGCAGACATTTTATAGGCCTGAAATTTTCAATGTGAAGCTGCTGCTTTGAGTCTAGGATGGTTTATTCTTGCTGTCATCTTGATTTTGCTTACTTTTGTATCTTGCTTTATGAATTGAGATTATTCTTCATAGTGCAGCACTAAAATGTAAGATACTTGGTGGTTAAAATCTGATTTTTGTTACATTTTCAAGTGACATGCAGCATTTTTTGATATTTTTCTAGACTTTTCAGTTCTGTTTTGCAGCCTGCCACTTGTCATATGTACAGCCAATATCTTTTTTTCTATGTATATACTAAAATTTCTGTGCATATCTGTGTCAAACTTAAATGACAATAAAAACAAAAAATATGTTTCATATGATTTTACATATCCCATTAACAAATGTAAAAAGGAAAAAAACAAATTCCTTTTTCAGTGTCTGATTACTGGTCAGTATGTTAAACCTCTGTTTCTGTCTATGCTTATTCTTCTCTGTAGTTTCGATAAAGATGGTGACGTGCACTACCTGATCAAGTGGAGAGATCTACCGTACGACCAGTGCACCTGGGAGGTGGATGATTTTGATGTCCCAGAATATGACAACCATAAAGCCTCTTACTGGGACCACAGGTTGGTTATCAGCATTTTTACCTCCTTCCCCCCACGTAAAGCTAATTCTAATGCTGTGAGGATGACAGTGAGAATGCATAAAATAAGTCCACTGCACACAAAAATAAACAAAGCCATATGTCTACATTTACTGCTGCTTCCTTTCTGCCCTGCTCTCAGTCTGTGATGCCCTTGTTTGAGACATTTGTCATCATATAAAATTGCTGCTGCAAATTCTTTTTTTTTGTTAGAGAGCAAATTTTAGGGGAGGATCAACGCCCCCTTGTGGTGAGGAAAGGAAAGAAACTCAAAGACGACCATGCAAAGAGGGAGGTCCCTCCTGATGCTCCCATCATAGACGTAAGTTAGGATATTCAGATGCACTTAAGTGACAGAAGTCCCATAATTTGCTTTAAATATATGCTTCTCAAACTGTACTGTTATGAGCTGCTTGCTGCAGGATCTTTCTATAGTAAATATCCTAAAAAAAAAAAACCCTGTGAAGCCACAATTATCCTAGTTTATTGATAAATGTGCTGTACTTTTGTTCTTCTGCTATACATATAATCTGATTTCACCAAAGTTACCGCTACAAGACACTACCATATTTTCACATTACCAGCCGACCATCAAATTTGAACACCAGCCATGGTACATCAATGCCACTGGGGGAACGCTGCACCCATACCAGCTGGAAGGCCTGAACTGGTTGAGGTTCTCCTGGGCTCAGGGCACAGATACGATCCTGGCAGACGAAATGGGCCTGGGAAAGACAGTGCAGACAATAGTGTTCCTCTACTCACTGTACAAGGAGGTAAGATCACATTTTAGTTCTCCGAGTGCAATGAAAAAAAAGCACATGCTAGTAATACCAGTTCTCATAATATAAATGGTAATGTGGACTTAAAGATTAAATCATCTTGAATGATCAGAAAAGCAAATGATAAAACCAACAGTGTTTCTTCTTTCTGTGATGTGCTGCAAGAGCTTAGTCCCGTCTTTCCCCTCTCTGTCAGGGTCATTCAAAGGGGCCTTTCTTGGTGAGTGCGCCCCTCTCTACTATCATCAACTGGGAGAGAGAATTCGAGATGTGGGCTCCAGATTTCTACGTGGTGACGTACACTGGAGACAAAGACAGCAGGGCGATCATCAGGGAGAATGAGTTCACCTTTGAGGACAGCGCGGTCAAATCAGGACGCAAAGTGTTCCGTATGAAGGTACCGTAGCTCTTCCAGCACTTATCCAGCTACTCCATACCTATCCAGGTTAAATGCTGTTTTTCAGATGCTTTTTTTTTCTTAGTTTTTTTGAACCCATAAATAACAGAAGAATAAGGTTCTGGTGGTTGACGTTGTACATGACACTGAACAATGAAGACTTCAAGGCGTTTTATAGCGAACAAGTCAAGTGCTTAATCATGTTTTGCATCATTCGATCCCACACTTGAATTGTTTGATGTTCTTCCTTCTGCCCTCTTGCAGAAAGACACTCCTATCAAATTCCATGTGCTGCTGACATCTTATGAGCTGATCACTATAGATCAAGCTATTCTGGGCTCCATCACCTGGGCCTGTCTGGTGGTAGACGAGGCCCACAGGCTGAAGAACAATCAATCAAAGGTAAAAAAAATAAAATAAAAAAAAGCCTCTTTATCACTGCCAGCAGTGAGATGCCATCTTTTCCAGAAGTAGTGTTATTATTATTTTATCAGAGAAACAAAAGAAAAACATAGATATGACTAAGAAATGTTTGCCCACAAGCTTAATACAAGAAATTAAAATTCAGATGTAAAATAACAAATGCTTTTAAGGTCATTTTGATGGAGAGAGGTTGGAGTTTTACAGTGCATGTGTCCTTGTATGCCATCTTCGCCTTAGCACGTCATTTCATCGTGTTGCACAATGTGCTGTCCAGTTTTTCAGAATCCTCAATGGGTATAAGATCTACTACAAGCTGCTGCTTACTGGAACTCCTCTTCAGAACAACCTGGAAGAGCTGTTCCACCTGCTTAACTTCCTCACCCCAGAGCGCTTCAAGTAAGTCCTGCTTTCTTCCTGTCATTCTTATTCCCCTGCCTTTTTTCTTTTTTTTTCTTTTTTTTTCATGATGTTTGACATTCCTTAGATAGATAGATAGACAGATGGATCTTGTGTTATTTGAATTAAATCGATGGCTGATCAAAAAGTGCCAGTCTCTGATGTAAATTCATTTCATTATTTATTTCTTCTGGGCAGTAACCTGGAAGGCTTCCTGGAGGAGTTTGCTGACATCTCTAAAGAGGACCAGATCAAGAAACTCCACGACCTGCTCGGTCCTCACATGCTCAGGAGGCTGAAAGTTGATGTCTTCAAGAACATGCCTGCTAAGACAGAACTGATTGTCAGAGTGGAGCTCAGTCCCATGCAGAAGTAAGATTTGGAATAATAGAAAAAGTATTTGGAGTAGAAAGTTGTGACTGCATGCCACTGCTGTCTATTTTATCTGATTAAAAGTAACATGAAAATCATTAAAATTGCAGTCACATAAAAATTTGGACCTGAAAACAGTTACAGGCTTCTCTAGCTCTTTCTAACTTCATATACAGCAGCCCTGGAGTCTAGATCATTTACCTTTGCGTGGTGACACTAACTTGTAACTGTATCGCAGTTTTAAATTAAAAATCGGAAGTAACTGATTGTTATTTTCACTCTCCTTTCCTCTTCTGACCTCTGACCTGCAGGAAATATTACAAGTTCATCTTGACGCGAAATTTTGAAGCTCTGAACTCCAAAGGTGGAGGGAACCAAGTGTCCCTGCTCAACATTATGATGGACCTGAAGAAGTGCTGCAACCACCCCTACCTGTTCCCTGTGGCTGCTGTGGTACGGACACACATCCGTCTGGTCCATTTGTTTCAGTACATGCCATGAAACCTGCTGTTCAGATCAACCTGCACTTACTAAATTATTGCCCTTGCACGCTCCTTGGGTTTAATCAATCAATCAAAATTACTGTTTCATTCATTCTTTATTTCGAACATATTAAAAGAAAAACTGTTGAACTATTATTTCTCCAGCTGATGCCCGGATTTGATTTTTGTCTTGAAGGAGGCTCCTGTTTTACCCAACGGTTCGTATGATGGCAACCTACTGGTGAAGTCCTCAGGAAAACTGACGCTGCTTCAGAAAATGCTGAAGAAACTCAAAGATGAAGGACACAGAGTTCTCATTTTCTCTCAGGTAAAGTCAAAAAGAAATATCGTGTCTTGGCTAAAAACCATGGTTTTCACTGATTGGGGAACATGTAGTCATAACTCACTGGATATACATAACAGCTATATTGCCATTTCTGGTGCACATTTCAAGCAGCTTTCTCTTCCCCTTCCACTAGCTGTGTTTTCAAAATCCCCTTAGCTACAGAAAACAACAATAGTCACCTCTGAGCTAGCAACCTAGACAGCAAAAATAGCAAGTTCCGCTAAGGACCACAAAGCATTTCCACCTTATGGTGAAGAAGTGTTTTTTATGATGTCACTCTGCATGCAAATGTGTCACCGGACAAGTTCCCCTTCACTATTTTGCAGGAGCACCAATGCTGCATCCTGGCATGCCTGAGATAACTGTGATTGGTTAAAATATACTCTTACAAACTGTTTTCCCCTTTAGCAGAATGATAATGAGGTGCAGCCAGACCATTGTGCAGCACTGACACAGATTGGCCTGGCTGTGCAAGACCAGTGACCACGAAATCCTTAAATCTATCTGTACTGTAGCTGTCTCAATGCCAATGTCAGTTATATGATCTTTTTAAAGATCATTTTAAGTGACAGTGCAGTTTTAACAAGTCCAGTCTGTGTGACTGTTGCAGAACAACTTATAGTACCATCTTGTTCACAGATGACAAAGATGCTGGATCTGCTTGAGGATTTTCTGGAGTTCGAGGGGTACAAATATGAACGCATTGATGGTGGTATTACTGGAGGCCTGAGGCAGGAAGCCATTGACCGCTTCAATGGTGAGTTTTTTTTTTCTTTTTTTCCCCAGAATCCATTTGTGAGTTTATGTGATCGCACGTTTTCCTCCACTTGGCTTCCACTCACTCACACACTCTTGCACACACAAAGCGACGCTCTGCTTTGTTTTGTGCCACAGCGCCAGGCGCGCAGCAGTTCTGCTTCTTGCTTTCAACACGAGCCGGAGGTCTCGGCATCAACTTGGCCAGCGCAGACACTGTCATCATCTACGACTCTGACTGGAATCCTCACAATGACATCCAAGTACTGGTTTCTCTCAGAATATGTGATGGATGCTTGTATGCTTTTGTCGCGTTTGTTCTTTAATTACATTAAGACTGATCTATTCTACTATTCCCCCAGGCCTTCAGCAGAGCTCACCGTATAGGTCAGAACAAGAAGGTGATGATCTATCGTTTCGTGACTCGGGGCTCAGTGGAGGAGCGAATCACACAAGTAGCGAAGAGGAAAATGATGCTGACCCACCTGGTGGTGCGACCTGGCCTGGGCTCCAAAACAGGCTCCATGTCCAAACAAGAACTGGACGACATCCTTAAGTTTGGCACTGAAGAACTATTTAAAGATGAAATGGAGGCAGCACGAGCTATGGGTATGTCTACGCACCATTTTTAACAGTTGTAGCTGCTCCGCACTCAATACAGAAAAGCTTCAGAAAAGTTTCAAACCTCTGCTTGATCTTTAAACTGTAGATGACATGATGGTAGATGGAATAATACCAAACAAATGACATTTAGAAAGGATTTTGTGTGGGGGAACAAACCAACTCCCCTTTGTAAGCTGCTAAAACAGTCCTGATGATCCATGTTTCCAAAAAAATAAGCAACACAGACTAAGACTTTATATGTAGGTCAAAACTGAAATAATTTTTGTCTGCTCAAATGGTGCTGCTTCTGTCAGTTATTAAATAAGAGCTTCATATCAACAGGTGACAACAAAGATGGTGAGGAAGGCAACGTGATTCACTACGATGATGACGCCATCTCAAAGCTGTTGGACCGCAGCCAGGATGCCACCGAAGACACAGAGATTCAGAACATGAACGAGTACCTGAGCTCGTTCAAGGTGGCTCAGTATGTGGTGAAAGAGGAGGACGGAGAGGTGAGAATATAACTGTGTTCTTCTGTCACAACAAAACTGGGATCACATACAAATGAAAAAGACATCGCTGGCAGACTGTCGATCTCATTCATGACCCGGTTTGGTTATTTGGCTCGATGTGCTAGATTCTGAAACTTGAAGAAACAAGATGACACACTTTAAAATAATGCTTGTTTTTAGGACACCCGGTGGTACTTTTGCCTGCGTGTTGAGCTATAAAGCAGTTTTTTTTCCCCCACAATGCTTTTGCTGGATGTTTTTCCCCAGTATGTGTTTCAGGACACTTGTGAACACCATGAGTATGCAATACAGGTTTTGACATTTTATAAGATGGGTTTACATCCCAGCTCTGTTTGGTTTAAAGGAGGCAACATCAAGCCAGTTCTTTTTGGTATGGTAAAGTTATTTATTACACACACAAAAAAATTCCCAAACAAAGGAAGCAAAACTGCTGAGGAAAACAGGGCTTGTGGTTGCTCCAAAATCAATGAAAGAAATAAAATCAAATAAATGCTCCAACTTGCTAAACAAACTGCAAACAGAAACAAAATGAAAGAACTAAACTCTCTACTCAAGCTGCAACACTAAGTACGCAACAGAAGAATTCCTAACTTAATGTGAGTGTTGTGGTTAAGCTAAGCTTGGCCCAGCAGGCAGGCAGTCATAGCGTTTCATTACACAAATCACAAAGCTCTCAGCTATGAATATTCCCTGGTAAGCGGCTACAAAGCACAAGGACAACAACTAACTACCAGCTAGCAGAAAATACCACGTTACTTACAAATGTTTTGGAATTTCCAAGAATACATGAGAACAACAGGCGGCAGAGATGTGAGCTGCTCACATTAAATCACTTGACAAGTTAGGTGTACTTTTACACCCAGGTGTAGTGATTGCTGCAGCCTGATTGGAGCACAGGGCTGGGCAGTGGTCCAATCAGCCATGAGGATAAACTGGGAGAGGAACAACGGCTAGAGCTTCAAGCCAATCAGCCAGAATGTCAGGCAGAATGTGAAGAATGTACAGGAGTCAACAGGCTCGTTGGAGAGGAACTGTGCCTGGAAAGTGGACGAGAACAGCAAAGTCGACAGTCACTGTGAAGTTTCCAGCAGCCTTCAGTCTGTACAGCAACTCACAGAAACAGGCTTATTAAAATGATCTCCCACGAGCATATGAGTTTGTACACAGTCTCCAATAGTTTTGTTTATGACAGGACAGCCTTTAAAAATGCTCTGCAGGTTATCTGTGATGTCTGTTCATGGTTCATTCATTTTACATGAAATCCCCAGTAAATCAGTATCAGGTTAGTTTGGCACAGTACATAAATCAGGAGACCAAACATGTCCCTCTGAAGCTACATAAATAAATCAAAAAGAGTACAGGAAAACAGCTCTTATTACTGAGCAGTCAGATATTATTTACATATGTTATTTTAACAATATTCACATTCCTTACCAGAAATGTTGTTAAATAGCTAAAGAGTGTTAATATAGTGTTAATATACTAGAACTACATATTGTCTACAGTTTATGATGTGTCATCTGAATGTATTCAGCCTCTCTGCCTGATAAACATCACCATCAACCACACATGTCAGTTACACCCTCAAAATCTCTGTAAATCAACTAAAATGAAAAGTTTCTGTCAAATGTCATATTGATGAGTCAACATCTAAACCGATCAGGTATTAGATCAGCCAGACGTTTAGTGCCCTGAGGCTGTGCGTCTCACAATGTTGTCGTTGCCTGTGTTTGATGACAACAGACTAAGTCAGGATCAGGTCGGATAGAAATCTAACCAGCAATCATTGTGTAGCGATCACCGGTGACCGTATCTAAGCAGGTCCTGCTCATCTCGATGAGCCTAAGCCCAGTCAGGGGCCCAGACAAAACAATTTACATACATGAAACAGGGTCATGAATGGTTCATCAATATAAAAGAAGGGTCAAGGCCGCTAAGGGCTGTAACAAGATGTTACTGGACCAATAAAAGGATGAGAAATCGGTTTTCCAAATATTGAATGATGTAGGAGATGCTTTGTTTTTAAAGATACAATAAATCTGAATGTAAAAGCTCGCCGTGATCTTGTAATTCACAATGAGCCCACCAGGATCCTGAGCCTTGTTACACAATGCCTTGTTGCTCGGCATTAAGGCATACCATGATCATAAGTTAAAATATTTTACATTAGATTCAGGACAAAATGTAACACAAGGACATATTTAGAAATACTTATACTGAAGTCCAAGGGCAGCTAGTTTAATGCATTTTCACAAAAGCTGCAGTAAATAGTTGTATTTCCACGACAATAGCGTGATGACACTTAATGTGAAATTTGATTTCACAGCAATAATAATTAATTCAAGTCAAATCAGCATTTCATAAAAGTGACACATTCTTTTAGGGGAGATTTTAATTTTTGCAGTATTTCTATGTTTGTATCAGAAATTGCAGTGGTTTATTTACGGTCATCCTATATATCACCTTCTCACCAATGTTTATCTATGTGTCTGTTCAGGAGGAGGTGGAGCGGGAGATCATCAAGCAAGAGGAGAATGTGGACCCAGACTACTGGGAGAAACTCCTCCGCCACCACTACGAGCAGCAGCAAGAGGATCTGGCCCGAAACCTGGGCAAAGGCAAACGCATCCGAAAGCAGGTCAACTACAACGATACGACCCAGGAGGACCAAGGTAGGCTCTGTCAACACACACACAGCTTCTCTATCAGCACCCACATGTCTGGCTTCATTGTTTTGCCTTGTGCCTCCACCAAGACCTATTTCTAAAGTCTTAATCTTGAGGATTATCTCACAGAAAAATACTGAATTTCTTGGCAGCGTTGTGGAAACAACTGCCATGTTCTGTTATTGCCTCACTAGTTTTAAATGTTGGTACCAGATTTGGCATTCCAGCCCATTTTTAAATATGAGCAGAAATACACAAGAGAACCCTGGAAGAAGAATACAGAATAGATGAGCTTTCTGGCTTGTTAGCTACCGGCTTACCAGCTGGCTTGTGGACACGAGGCAGGCGAGCCAAAAGCATATTCTTAAGGAAAAAAAAGGCATTATTTTCTAAATAAGCCACTCTGTGGACTCGTATTTAGGGTTTATTGTATGAATCTGTTCCTTGTCTTCAAAGGATTTTCCAGCAGTTTAGCAGTGACAAGGTGTAATACTGCCTCCAACAGTTAAATGTTGCATTTTGAATTGGCATTCTGGGAGCTGTTGCCTGTATGACAACACACTTTACACCGAACTCATCACCACTAAACAGATCATCTTAAAGATTAAGACTTTATTGGTTTTTCTTATAGATACTTCTCTGAGTTACACAGATCCATGTTGAGTAGCCTCTTTAAAGTGGGAGATCTGTACTGACGCTTTGAATATGTCACTTAAATCTGTTGCCTTAATCTGCCCCTATTATAAAGGCACATTTTAGTAAAAAGGCTGAATGTTATTGGGAAATATGTAATTGCAATTCCTCGGAATGACTTTGCAACTGATTTACAATATATTTTTTCAAACTTTTGTTCAATACTTAGAGTTCAATAGATTTACAAAATCATTAACTTGACAGTTCAAACACCAGGTCACATGTGCTGCAAAATGTATGGGTGTGGCTATTTACATGCTAAACCCCAAAACCCACTGGAGGGTTGGAAAAGCAGGTTATCTTTAAGAACTGCCAAAATTACAACATTTATCAGAGCCAGAGAATGGCTTTCATCTACTCATCTGTGGTTCCAAAGGGAAAATTAACCAAAATCAAGCTTAAAATCTTGAAATTTCAGCAAAATCACTTTATTCTGTATCTCAAATTTTAAAAACTGCCAAAAATAAAGCCCTTCTTTTACCAGATTCTATGAAAAACAAAGAAGTCTGTGCTCCCCCGGTGTCACCGTAGAGCCGTTGGTGTCTCAGCTGTTATGTGACAAAGATTCTAGGATTTTTCAGCTGAACTGCAGGCTGTGTTTACACAGAGCAGATCGGGGACCACAAGTATGAAAACCAATTAAATATGTAAATAGTAAATTATCTACAGTATGTAGAGCTGCCACGTTTCCCCTCCAGTATTGGAACACCTGTGAGCATTTTTTTTTAAAGTGGTAACTGCTGATTTAAGGTCTTTTCAATTTTTAGGATATAAATGATAAAAAGAAATTCAACTTTTGTTTTTTTCTTTTTGTTTTATGATTTATTGGCACTAGAACTTTGTTGTACGGCACTAAATCAATTTTTGAGTTCTCTCTGCTGCTAGCTGCGTTTGTGCTGTTTCCATAGACGTGCAGATTTTTTATTACAGTACAAAAGAGGCCCACAGTGAGTAAAAATATGACAGGAGCAACACTGCTTGTGTCAGTCAAACCACAGCCTATATGCCACTACAGTGTAGTATAATTGATAAACGGGCAAACAAAAGTTTCCATAAAACTGAATTACAGCATTAGTATCATTTAATAGCCACGCCTTGTACATCCCAAATTGCAGTCATTGCCATTTACTAATTGCATTCTTTCAAATTCAGTTTCAAATTGAAATCGATTACATGTTCAGCCCTACCGTGTATATAATACTATATCTGAATATGTAATGAATGGGCCAGATTGTTTTAGTGTGATCATTTGATTGACATAATCAGAAAGTCTGTCTGTACAACAACATGTAGAGCAACTGAAGCATCATGTTTGCCTTTGATATTTAGCTAATTCATTATCAGAACAGTGCTGCTGAAGCTGCTGCCTGAACAAGCTCTCACATGCTGGCTGTTATTAGTGAGGCAACAGTGTGACATTATCTCAACATGGGATCATTCGGGTGTATCCTCTTATGTTGTAATTCTTAACAAGAGCTATTGGCCTCTATTATATGTGCCACAGAACATGTTATACTGGCCCAAAGCTCACTTATATCTCATGCTTTTATGTTGGTTTTCTCAATGGGCTTTAACACAGCAGTACAGCAGTTTATTACTGCTGCAGTTGTCCCGTTGTTGAACTTTGGAAGCGTGCGCAAAGATTTCAGAGCCCATTGGGGCTTAGAGTACACTCTAAGTTAAAGTGATTGTGTGCCATAGTTGTCAACTCTCACCTCACTTCCAGAGGACAGAAGTGGTACGGTATGTGCATGCGCAGCTGTAGTGGTCTGTAGTAATCTGCAGTGCCATGGCGCCCTCAGGTGGCCACCAACAGAAGCGAACGCAATGTACTGTTTCTCTTTGATGTGTGGCTCAGAGTGGCAGGATGATCTTTCAGACAATCAGTCGGAGTACTCCGTGGGGTCCGAGGACGAGGACGAAGATTTCGAGGAGAGGCCTGAAGGTAAGCAGCACAAACATCATTAACCTCATTTAACTTTGAGCTGTGGTAATAGAATTAATCACACAAATTACTGCTGATCAAGGTTGTAATTAAATTAGCCTGTCTTTCTAACAATGCACTTGGCTTTGTTGTTTGTAGGTGGACGCAGACAGTCTCGCCGGCAGCTCAAGAGTGAGAAAGACAAACCTCTGCCACCCTTGCTGGCACGTGTTGGAGGAAGCATTGAGGTATGAATTCCAAATCATCCTCCTTTACAGGTTGTCCTCATGCATCTTAAAGTGTATAGACTATAATCTGTCAACCACAATGGACACAAGGGGTCACTGTAGGATCCCTCATGCCGTATGCTTACAACGAGGAAATTTTGGGTCACTATACGGCAATATGCCAGCGGGCCTCACTGCTGTGCCGTTGATTCTGGTTCAGGCCTCTGTGGAAAACAGCAAACAAGGACACAATTAGGATCAATAAGTCGTCACATTGTTCTCACACTGTGAAACACTTAACCTTCTGCTCAGTTCTGACTTTTTGACCTTTTACCCTGCATATTCTCTTTCGCCTGTGTTTTCTCATTATCGTCATTACAAGGTCCTGGGGTTCAACGCTCGCCAGAGAAAAGCCTTCCTCAATGCCATCATGCGCTGGGGCATGCCTCCTCAGGATGCTTTCAACTCTCATTGGCTGGTTCGCGACCTGAGAGGGAAGAGTGAGCGAGAGTTCAGGTGATGCCCTCACACCTTCTATCCTTAAACTTTGTTGCACCAACTAATGTTATTTGATTAAGCAACAATTTTTAGTCAAGAGGGGCCTAGCCTTATGTTAAGAGGCAGCTCTGGGCCATTACCTTAACTGTTAAAACTGTTTATTCGCCTCGAGCAAAGCTCAGAAATGCTCATATCAAGGCTGCAAAAGACGGCCTTGCTAATTTCAGGGATCTTTCATTTTAGAATAAACTAGACATGGACATGACAGCAGCAGAGATTCATATGCAAAATGCAATTACCCTTAGGCTGTGTTTATTAGTTCTAAAGTGAATCATCCACACTTAATTACTGCTGCTAATGATACAAAAAAAACAACAATTTGTACTACAACTTGTATTGCTACCCCCACCAATACTGCTAGCGTTACTGCTACCATTGCTGTTATTCTTCTTTCTACTACTTCTATGACTGCAGTCAAGCCACAACCAGGATTTAGAAATGATCCAGAATGTTCTTATTTTATTTAAGCTATAAAATGACATATTTTGTACAAGTTATTTCCCATTATCGAAATGCTATTTCAACGCCTTTGGTCACTAATAAAGTACTGAATCCCATATAAATTTGGCATTTTGTTAGGTCAAAAGAAGTCAAATTTAAATGTGAGCTTATAAACCGCCCACTAAAAAATAAACTCCCCCAGAATGCTAAAACTTTCAAATTCCCTGACCACCACTACTTCCAGTCCAAACAGTGTGCTATACTTGCTAAGAACATCTTGCCAAGCCAATAATGGTGTTGTAATGTACAATTATTTCATTACACGCTACTACCTCTGCTCTGAATGCGGTTAGTGCTTCTCCTACCAGAGCTACTCCTGTGCCTGCCTTTATTAGTATTCCTGCCTCCTGAGCTCCTAACAGCGGTTTGAAAATCTGGTACTAGTGCAAGTAACCTTTGAGAAATTTCTCTTATGTCTACTTTAAAATGTCTTTGTTCTTCAGGGCCTACGTGTCTCTGTTCATGAGACATTTATGTGAGCCGGGGGCAGACGGAGCGGAGACCTTTGCTGATGGAGTCCCCCGCGAGGGGCTGTCTCGTCAGCATGTTCTTACCAGGATCGGAGTCATGTCCCTTGTCAGGAAAAAGGTAGTGGTTATTCAGCCAAAGACATGTTCCACGAGAACACCGAGTCTCATGCTGGAATGCTGTGAGAAAAAGCAGGTTAACGTGTCGAGGCAGAAGCAGAGAAAGAGCACTCCTCAGGCAGAAACAAGCTTAACTTTTCACATTTGTTTGCCATGTGTGTATACCTGAGAGAGATGTTTGTGTGTAATGACTTTTATAAATTCCCAGTAACTACTAGCTTTTTCCAGACTAGTAACTTACTAAAATGAAATTGTACCAGTAAAGTTCAGAAACATCTGCAGTACCTTCCAATCAGAAATATTTATTTATGCAAATAGGAAGTCATGCAGCAACACAAGCTGTAGAATCATTTCCAAATATTACAATTTACCTGGCAATTTTTGAGTTTTATTAATCTGTTTATTCATCAGTTGACTATTTTTCAGAGTTACTAGTATTCATTTAGAATGAGCATGCCAACCAAATATTATTTGGCTAAATTTGTGATGTAAAATCTTGCAGTTTCATTAAACAGCAGTCAGATATTTTGATACTGCTAGCTTAATACGCTGTGAACAGCTGCAGTTGTATTTAGTAGCAACTATTATCTTTGCTAATTAGTTTGAGGATTTAGTATAACTCTACACACAGTAAACACTGTTCAGCATTTATTGCATTTTTCCTGTGTTCATTTGAATAAAAAGACAAATTACACATTTTTGATGTTAGCGTCTACCTGCTCAGGGACTGCAGATGGTAACTGGCAAGCAGCTGCATCTGGAAGAACGCAGCTCTTCTTCTATGAGATGAGAAATGAGACAGATGTATTTTAATGAAAGTTTTTTGTACGCAGCCTCTGGCAAATAGATGTAATAAATAAAACTAAGTTTGAACTGAGTTGATGCATCATTCAACAGACAAAATGAAAACGTAACAAATGATTCAGTGCTGCATTTACGTTCCAGTGCAGTTCTTCCTAATCTCCATATGAGAAGAAAGTGTCATCGTATGAACCAATCTGTTTTCCTGTAGGTGCAAGAGTTTGAGCACGTAAATGGGAAGCTGAGTTCTCCAGATCTGATTCCTATTGGCATGGAGCTGAAGAAACTGACTGAGAGTGTATCTTCTGACCCCAACACCCCGGTACCAGCCAGTCCTGTCGCCACACAGCCTGGTACCCCCATCCCACTAGGTCAGAACAAAGTGTTGGTTATGTCTGATTTTCATCTCTATGTAAAGATAAAGGTCATTCTCAGAAAGACACATTTCTGACAAAAAGCTGAGTTGTTTTCTGTATTGCAGAAAAGAGTGAGTCTTTCCTGGGCACCGCTGAGGACAAGGAGACCACAGAGCAAGACAGCAAGAAACTGTCAGAGCAAGAAGTGCGTCCTTTTATTCCCCTCTACCCATCACTTTCATTCTGTTCTCCTTTATTGTCTTGTCTAACTTCTCATGGGTCATCACACTGAAACCACAACTCATCATCCTCAGAAGACACTTCTGTCAAACTCTGACACCTTTTTAACTTGTCTCCCTGCCCTCTAACAACTTTCCTCTTTCTCCTCTCGTTGCCCTGTCGGTTTTTCCCTCGGCAGGCTTCCAGCGCCGAGCCGGCAACGGTACCTGAGAAGGCAGCTGACAGTGAAGAGAGCAAGGCCAGCTCAGAGGAGAAAACAGGAGATGAGAGGAACAGAACTGAGTCACCGTCCACAAAGACCGAGCCATCTGCTAACCCAAAAGACTCAGCTCTCAAACAGACAGAGCTGCCATCCAGCCATACCTCGCCGAAGAGTGAGCACTGCATAATCCATGTGATGCTAATTTTATTCATCTGCAAGGCTGTACTAGGTTCATTAAATCTTTTTTTTTTTTTGTCTCTGTCATCCTCAGCGGAGCCATGCAAAGAAACAGAGAAGTCCTCAGAAAAAGCAGACACAGATTCTCCTCTGGCAAAAACTGAGGACAAGGAAAATAAGCCAGGTACAAACAACTCAATAACTAAAAGCAAAGCAGTATTCATGAGGAGTCCATGTAGACCTATTATATAGATGTTTCTTCTGAGAAATCATTCTGCCATTTATTGCAGACGATGTGAAGAGTGAAGATGCATTAGAAGGTCGATTAAATGGGGACAAAGACACTTTGGATGAGATGGATGAGAGCAGGAAGGAGGACAAGAACGGATTCAAAGCCAAGTTCATGTTCAATATCGCTGATGGAGGTTTTACAGGTAAGAACAGATTTGATAGTAAACTCACCAAACAAGTAGTCTGTACTCCAAAGATAAACTCGTGAACTGAATTCTCTCATGAGCAAAGTTTCCCAGTTGGTAGTCAACTCCATTACAATTTATAATATGAACCCTGTTAAGACATTTTTTAATCAGTTTTAACATGTGTTTTATCTTAAAGCTGCTAAATTTCAGCGATAAAAGAAACAAATTTAAATCTCAGCGGCATGCATCTGTCATTCATCTAAAAAGGAGAAAACAATAGATATATAGTATAATATAATATTTGTTGTATCTATGAATCATCCAAACTCATTTCCATGATATCGGCGTGAAATATTGCACAGGTCAGTTTGAACTGAAATTAAATTAAAATGTTTAACATGAAGAGTGTAAATAGACAGACAGTAATGTAACAACTGAAACTCAAACTAGTATTTTTTGGGGGATATTTTTGATCTCACTGCTGGAAACACTACATTTAAATCAAATTTTTTTTAATGTCATAAGCTCACAAAGTCGCTGCCTAAGAGTAGAAACAGTCTTCAGGTGATCCTTGGAGTCTCTAACTTTCAGTGAAGAGAGACAGCTGTCTTTGCTTTTAGACTTTACAGGGATGTTTGTATCTTGTGTTTCTCTTTCTTTAATACACCCCAACTTTATGCTCTTAAGTGTCTTACTACAGGCTGTTTGTTTCAGGTCACATATTGAAAGAACTTTGTTTTGCCATGAAGTGTGTTTGTGTTAGTTAAAATGCTTCCCTTTAAATGCTGGAAACATCTTGAACATCACTTTGTGTTTTCATAGAAACTGTCTGTCTTTATTCCTCTCCCTGTCAGAGTTACACACCCTCTGGCAAACTGAGGAGCGAGCGGCGCTGTCTTCTGGAAAGATGCATGACATCTGGCACCGTCGCCATGACTACTGGCTGTTGGCTGGCATCGTAACGTATCCTCTCCCAGATGTAAGGGCGAGAAGCTCAGCATCTGGCAAAGTAGTGTAATTACTTATGACATGAGGGAGCTGCAGCTGAACGCTTGATATTTACACAACTGAGAAGTGATATAAAACTACGCTTTCAGCAGGTCCGGCTTTGCTTTTCCTTTGAAGAATTTTATGAGCTTTCTGTGCTCCCATTTGTTTTCCTTGACCAGGAATCTATTTCAGACATGGCTATGCTCGCTGGCAAGACATTCAGAATGACCCGCGTTATGCGATTCTGAATGAGCCCTTCAAGACGGAGATGCATAAGGGCAACTACCTAGAGATGAAGAACAAATTCCTGGCTCGCCGCTTTAAGGCAATTTTGGAGTCTTTGTGATTTAAAAATAACCACTGAACACTGAAATAATTCAAGGATTAAAGACTTTTTTTATTATGTCTGTCACGCCTGTGCTTCATTTTCTTTCTCCCTGTAGCTGTTAGAGCAGGCTCTGGTGATTGAGGAGCAGCTGCGGCGGGCAGCCTACCTGAATATGACCCAGGACCCGAGTCACCCGGCCATGGCTCTCAACACTCGCTTTGCTGAGGTCGAATGTCTGGCAGAGTCCCACCAGCACCTGTCCAAAGAGTCTCTGGCTGGGAACAAGCCTGCCAACGCTGTGCTGCACAAAGGTCTGCGGTCTACTCTTAAAAATAGCAACATTTGTAACTGTAACTCAAGTGCCCAACCTTGGTAAAGGAGGAGAATAATCCTACACACATGACTTATTACAAGTAAAATGACATATTCATGTATGCTGTGCTGCAGTGGGAGGAGCAAAGTTTGAGTTTAAATGCCCTGGAACGATCAATATTTCACTTCACTGTAGTCAGAAAGCCTTTCATATTCAATACTAGGTTCTGTTTTTTCTTTTGATGTGGGTGAGTACAGTATTGTTTCATTGAAATAACACTTAACTACTAAAAAATCGATGCAGCACTGTGATTGCTGGAGCTACACTGGGGGAAAAAAAGTCTTTTATTGAATTTTTTTTTTCTAAGTGCAGCATTCATCCTTATTTTCTGAGCAGAATCTCCTTGTACACAAAGACCATTTTTGACCTGTTTTGAACGCATTTTCTTGTTTCAAAACACTGCCACTCTGTTGTAAATTCCTTAAAAACATAGATATTTCAGCTGGATTAAGGTTTATCCATCCATTCAGACGGTAAATGAGGTGCCAGAGCGAGTGCACACAGATGTTTTCACACTGCTGTTATGTGAAGAGCTTCTGAAAGGCATCCAGTAAAAAGATCCTGTTCGACACAGTGGTTTCATTTTATGCGAATTTGACTCACCATCAAAACATGCTTACAGTGATTAGCAGGATGAAAAGTTTGGGAACAGGCCAAAGACTGTATGAAACTGAAGCGTTAAAATGATAAAGTTGCTTCAAAATGATGTTTTCTGTGACCCTTGTTGATTTATTTGCCAGTGAAAAATGTTACGCCGTTCAGTTCTTGGCAGTTGATGATTTCAGGTCCTGGATCAAACAATTAATTAGCTTTTTTAATGATTTGAGGCTCGCACTAATTTTTAATAGGATTTTTGCTCAACTTTTCCAAGCATTTTGCCTCCCTAGTGTTGTTCATGTGCAGGAATGAACTGAGCGTTTACATAAGTACAACCGCTCTCGTGTGTTCTCGCAGTTCTGAACCAGCTGGAGGAACTTCTGAGTGACATGAAAGCAGATGTGACACGACTTCCCAACATGCTGTCCAGGATCCCGCCGGTGTCGGCCCGCCTGCAGATGTCTGAGAGAAGCATCCTGAGCCGCCTCACCAGCCGAGGCAGCGAACCTCCACCACAGCAGGTGAGATGAGACCTGACAGCTAACAAGGTCAGATAGCTTGAGAAAATTATCTTTAATTGTTCTAAAATAGGGACTACACAGTGGGTAGCACTGTCGCCTTGCAGCTGGAAGATCCCCGGTTCGCATCCCAGTTACAACGCCTGGGATCTTTCTGTGCGGAGTTTGCATGTTCAGAGTGGGTTCTCTCCAGGTTCTCTGGCTTCTTCCCACAGTCCAAAAACACATTGAGGTTAATCGGTGATTCTAAGTTGTCTGTAGGTGTGAATGTAAGGCATTACACGTAGCCGGGTGACTTGCAGCTTAGTGTACGTGTAAACCAAAGGCCCAAACGCATTCAAATATCACCGTTTTTGCTACCTGAAATGGGGCCTTAGTGTGCTTGGTTGTCTGTCTCTGTGTAGCCCTGTGATGGACTGGTGACCTGTCCAGGGTGTCCCCTGCCTTCGCCCTGAGTTTGCTGGGATAGGCTCCAGCCCCCTGCAACCCCAGTGAGGATTAAATGGTGTATAGATCATGGATGGATGGATGTTCTGAAACAGGCAATTTTAGAGCTAAAACTCATAAAGGGTGAGGAAACAAGGCTCACTGAAATGCACAGCAGGGCGGTGTAAGTTTAAGAAATAAAAGCGCTGTGGCCCAAAAGCTTTGAAGCTCTCAGTAGTCACGACTCAGCAACCGCATTATTCGTTTGAAAACCCAAGGAGACTCAGACTCACTATTCCCCATGGAACAGTCTCCTCAGGTGCAATGTGGAGGGGAAAAAATATCCCTTTAGTTGTTTGCTTTCACCACTGAGCTCCACATTTTGCTCCCAAAGGATTTAACAAAAAAAAAAAAAAAAGCGTTGTCTCATTACATTCCTGTCTCCTGCCTCTATTCACCAGAGTTTTATTGTTTTCTTATCTGTTATACAAGAGACAGTTTCAGTCAAGTCGTCCGATTGGCCATGTTCTCTGACACGGCTTGGTTGCTATACCAACTCCCGTCGTAACCAGGAGACAGTTGGCAATTGGACTTGCTTTCCTTTCTTTTCTTTACATGCTTAGTTGTTGCAGAACCACTCTGACAAAGCAGCTCAAACCTGTGAAATGTTGTGTAGAAGCATCAATACATACTGGATCACTACAATCACAGACAGCAATTATTTCCCCATGAATCAGTCGTGTTAACCTTCTAGCATGCAGCAGAGTAATTCCTGTGTTTGTGTGTTTGTCAGCCTTTTGCCCAAGGTGGGTTCGGCTGCTCCCAGATGTATGGCAGCAGCTTTGGTGGAGGCTTCAGAGGACCAGGTGGACAGCCGATGGTCAACTACAGTCAGATGCCTCTGGGACCTTACGTCAGCGGTAACAATCAACATTTGCAGTCGATCCTAGGTGACATAAGCGGGAAAGGGAGGTTGTTCATGAAACTCAAGTTTTTATAATTGTTGCAATAGACTGAGAGAACTCATTCACAGTGAATTGTATCATTTTAGCAAAAGCACTGTTAACATTTTCGAAGCGAAGGTCTGCAGATGTTTCACTTGCAGCAGCACTGATCTTTGTTGCAATGCTTTTACGAGACTTGACAAGCCAATTGCAATGAATTTAAAGCTTAATGCTCATTATTTAACAGCCGTTTTTTCATTGTATTTGCCAACTTTTCTTAATGATAATAATTAGATTGCACTTATAGAGTGAAATGATGAGATTGTTGGTAAATGATGACATTGGCATCTGAACTGTATGTTGCAGACATCTGTCACTGTTTGCAGACTTACATCTTGACTGAATGTTGTGCTACACATTAATTGCATACAGAGTGAATGTTTGCTACAGACAGTTTGGATGTGCTCACTTTCAGTTTGAATTTGAATTTAACCTTCTGAACCACAAGCAGTTTCTGGGCATCTGTGCTATTATTATTCATCGTGGATCACTATTGACTTAACAGTTATGCCGAAAAGCTCAGAATTTCTAGTTTTTATACTGAATCTGGCTTATTTATTACCGGCTTATTATTGTTATTACTGGCTTATTTTTTGGAGAATTTTGATATGAGACACATTTGATGAAATATCACAATTTTAAAGTTAAATTTGGATAATTTTCTGATGGAACGGCACACCACAGATAAGGAGTTCAAGTACTGCTGAGACGGGAAAAAATCTGACTATTTTTTCTGTTTTCACATTTTTTGTTTTCATCTTGGCAATTTTTTAAAAGAGATAACATGCTTTTTAACATGCTACATGCTGGTGAGTTTTGGGGTTCAGAAAGTTAAAGAGTAAAATTTACTGTTTGTTCTGTTTGTAACATCTGACATAACACTGACTATAGCATGCTTTCAAAATCTCAACAGCCATATTTGTGTTGTTTGTGAGCCACTAAACATTAGATCTCTTCCCTCTTCAGTGTCGTCTAACGGCCCCCCTCCCCCTACAAGCCATCTGGACAAGAAGTCACTTGACTCCTTGAGAGACGTGGCGACGCCTGACCTCAAGTCAGGCAAACCAAGTGATGTCATCTGTATTGAGGACTAGACCGGCTCTGTAACACTGACCCGAGGTCAGAAACTCCCAGGGATGGAATCTGTATAGATGACTGCTGCCCATCTCTTACATTACATCCTCCTCTGTCTCCTGCTCTTTCCTGACTCAAAACCTACAAAAATCAAGCTCTCTGCTGTCTACGGATAAGGCGATTAACTTTTTGATTAATGCAGATGTATCTATCTTAACAGTTGCACTTTTATCTTTTAAGGATCCTATAGAAGTAATTTCAGTAGATATGTGTTTTTGTTTACCTGCGATGGGAAAGCTGCAGATTTGGAGGGAAAACGGAGCAGCTTCTCAGAGAGAGGATTCTTTTTCCGCCCTGCACTACAACGCGAAACTCAAGCGAGTTAGTGAGTTTCTGATGCTCTTGATTGGGGCTCATTCTAATTCTCGGAATGTGTGTTCTGTTCGTGCCAGCCTCGACGTTTTTCACTCTGTGTGCGCCCTGTTGCTTTTATCCATTTGCCTACTCACTGTACACTGTGACTGTGCCGCTCCGGAGCTTGTTCCTGTGAAGAGGAGAAAAATGGAGGACGTCCTCAGTCATAGTTTGATGGGAGATTGTTTTTTTTGAGGGCCAATATTGTTACTTTAACTGAATATGTGTTTATGTCATTCATGTTGTAACCAGTGGATAAAATATTGATTTGAAAGCATCAAAGACTATTATCATGTATGCAGTAGCTGGACACAGTCTGTCTGAATCCTCTAAAGACTGCCACCTGCTGGTAACTTGGAAGAAGTCATTTCTGCCAAACATGCAGCGACACTTGACTGCAACACCTAGTTAAGGTTGGCCTCTTGTACTGTATATACTCAGAGACTGCTGTTTATTTTACCTCACATAGGTCTAATGATAGTGAAAATATGTATACATACATGGATGAATACAGACGAAGGCTTGGTGTTGAGCAGAAGAAAACGCTTGGAGTGACACAAAGGATTTTTAATGCATTTTAGAGAAGACTGAGTATTTCTGTGTATGGTACAATATTTGTGATCCTTTCTATATTTGAATGTTAGTAGTGGCTGTAGAGCTTAACCCTAGGGCCATGACCAGTGGGACTTGACTATAAACAGGAACTCATCTGGTCCACATACAGGGCTTCAGTGTTCACTCTCTAAGACCAGAGTCCTGAATGGAGGGTGGCTTTTGTTCCTCTTATATCCCAGGGACTTCCCCAGTTCCCTTTTAACTGTTAGGACTAAATAAGAACATATGTGCTTACGGTGCAATGCCACCTTAAGTGTAGTATTTGAGGCAAACCAAGCTTTTGTTTGCTTCTCTTTATGTTAAGGTAAAAATTCGATGTATTTGGTCACTTGGTGCCATTAAAGGAGATAATCCAGAATGATTTGTTCTTCGATGCAGTGTGTTTCCTCAACAGAAGTGAAGGCTGTCGTTTGTGGCGTCACAGTCTCAACCTACATTTGAAGGAATATTCTCTGTATATCAGCTTTTAAGGACCAATGTTGCACAGCATTACTTTTAGACGATGTCTTCACTTTAGCTTCCTCGTTTACGCTTTGGTTCTTTCGAGAGTGTGCGTTTTCACCTATTGCTTTACCTGCTGTGAAGGCGCATTAGTTTGGTATAACTACATATCTAGTCCATTCCATCTACAGTTATGATGTGCTAAAGTGACTGTCCACTAAGTAAAACAATCTTTTATAAATTCAACCTTACTATAGTTCATTTTCTATGAAGGCATTGCTGAAATGTTCGAACTCAATGTGCAAATCTTTATTGACATTTTTTTTTTCTTTTTCCAAAGACCAGTGGCATTACCAGTTTGTATTATTCTCGCCATTGCCACAGCACTTATTTGACATTGTTGAAATGACGATTGTGATTGACTAATCTAAAGTGAGGAGGCAGTGTTGTACAAAGTTGGTGAGTGTATTTTCCTACTCTCTTTTTGCCAATGATTGTCCTGAGGTGCTCTCTTCTGAACCCCTTTTCATTTACCTGGATTGTGTAACTACAACCTCCTCACCCATCTTTTATTAACACACTTTAACCTAAAACTCAAATTTAAAACATTGCCACTGGAAAGCACCGTGAGAAGAACCTTGATCATATCAGTTTTGCGCTACTCTTTGTTAACGTTGATCAGTGCTGTTTCGTTTACTGTGTTTCTGTTTATGCCATCAGCTACTTGACCATGACATGGTTGGTTGACAGATAGAACCTCAGAAACATGTAAATACTTGAAAGATTTTTCAGAGATAAGTCCATGTCATATAGATTTTTGTATTAAACTGGAAAAAAAAAGATGAATGTCTACTGGATGGTGTTGCCATAGAACTGTTATGTGCACCGTATGTGCTAATTCAATCAAAATCATGTCTTTTTCCCTCTGGAGCGACGACCGCAAGATGACGTCAAAAACACAATACTCCAATGAAATGCAATCAAACTGAAGTCAGTATGAATGTAATGTCTGTTAAAAAAAGGCTTCAGTCTAATATTATAAATATGTTAACAATGTATGTACATGCTTATTAACATGGCTTCAAAAGCTACCAAAAGACCCTGATAAAAGGCACCTTTGTTGCAGTGAATGCACAGCATGTGAAGCGTTTGATATGACGGTTCACTTTTGGGAGGTGGTAATGTATCTAGCATTTACAGACAATGAGCTCCAAGCTGTGTTATGGTTCTGATATTTGTGCTGTATAGCAATTGAATGAAAAAAAAGTGAATTGTCATCTTTTTATTTGTATTCTGTGTATTTGTTCAATGTGTTTTAATAAATCTTCTGGACAACAGTAACACCATGTGATCATTTCTTGCCCCGTAGTCAGTGTGAAGACAAATGAAGAAGCATGAATAATTGAAGTGAGTTGAGGAGGGCTTCACATTTAATTAACATTCTTGACCTCACACATTACCTTGTGTTCATTGTGCGTGTGCCTGCAGAACTGTAAATGTGATTAGAGGCAGAAAGAGAAACACTGATGTAGTCAGGGAGAGACTAAAATAGCAGTTAGGAGCCATTCACAGAGTCATAGAAGAATCAAAGACGGTCTAAAAGCACCACAAGTACATATGCTTTGCATTTATTACTGCTTAAACTTGTATTTTACTTGATAGTTGTCATTTTCTTTTACTCTATACAGCCACTAGACTCTTTTATATGACACCCCACTGAATTTCCTGAGGGAATTGTATTTTTTACTCCACTACATTTATTTGTTACAACCTGCTTGCAGGGTCATAGCACAGAAGGAAGATGCACCATTTACCACAGTAGCACAAACTAACTTATTAAACAAACTGAGGATACTTAAAACTCATAGAGCCTAAGGGTCAGAAAAATCAATAGGATGTGCATGAGGGTGGAGATAGTGTGAGTTTTGTGAGATGCAAAAACCAAAGTGACAGAAAAAAACCCAAAAAAAAACAGAAGCAGTATTATTGCCCTGCTGCCAGCGCAGGCAGCTGAGTGAGAGTCAGAGTGCCGACAGCAGCCAATGTCTTGTAGGAAACACCGAGCACAGGTGAACCCTGTCCACCTACCAGGCACCTCCAACACAGGCAGACTAAAGAACTGACAAGAATAAGGCAGAAAGAGAAGATTTTACATCCAAAACATGGTAATTTTAAAACATAGAACAGAATAGGGTTTATTTTGCACAGTGTGCAACAAACATGCGTCATTTACAGGGACAAACAGCAGTTTTTAAAAATACAGTAAAAAATAAATATTAACTGTAACCTATGACAACAGTGATATAGATTGTTGTTGTAAATAAAGCTTATTTGTTATATTAGGATCAATATATTTTAAAAAAAAAACAATAATTTACCTAATGTTGCATTTCGGAGTATTTCAAAATGCTAAATGTGATGCTTCTAGTGCAAAAAGAGAACTCTAGCAACAGTTGACATTTCGACTTCCACCCGATCAGATTGGGGTGTAAATGACATCTTTTAAACACTGACGTTACTGAATCTGTTCTTTCAACTGGAACTCTGTGACATTTCATGCAACAGAAATTGAGAAAACAATGTCACCTCCAGTTTAATCATAGCAGCACCAGGCGGTCCCCTTACTGAAAGTGCAACACAAACTTTGAAAAATAGTTGCCCACTGTGTTTTTATAGCAGATAGCCTGTATTTCTGGTACAGGCATCTCCAGGGGGGGAAAGGATTAAAGTACATTTAATAAAGTTGCCACACACAAGTGGTAAAACAACAAATACTTTTATCTTCATATGGCCCAAACAGTTATTACTCAGACTGAAAGTGCGCTATAATTCCACAGTGTCTATTAAGGAGTGAGAGATCATTTCTCTAAATTCCCTCAGCAAGAACTCCAACTTAAGAAAATGAAAATTCTTATATTTATTTTCAAGTTGAATAACAGAGTCCTTTTTCAGGTAAAATGAAACATCTCAGATACACAGACACAAGTTAAGTTGTGTTTTCCTCCTCTTAGCATACTTCCTTTAGTCACATATTCTCAGGTTTTATTTGTATCTGTGTTTTCTGAACATTGTATCATCCATCCATCCATCCATCCATCCATCCATCCATCCATCCATCCATCCATCAATCATCTATACACCACTTAATCCTCACTAGGGTCGCGGGGGGGCTGGAGTCTATCCCAGCTGACAGGGTGAAGGCAGGGGACACCCTGGACAGGTCGCCAGTCTATCACAGGGCTACACTTAGAGACAGACAACCAAGCACACTCACATTCACACCTACGGACAATTTAGAATTACCAATTAACCTCAACATATTTTTGAACTGTGCGGGAGGAAGCCGGAGAACCCAGAGAGAACCCACGCTGCACGGGGAGAACATGCAAACTCCACTCAGAAAGATCCCGGTGACCCCACCGTGACGTGAACCGGCGACCTTCTTGCTGCAAGGCAACAGTGCTACCAACTGCGTCACCTTGCAGCCCAACATTATATCATTAAACATTAAATCCAAAACATATTATGAATAAGTGAGTGGGCAAATTAG